TCATTTCACAATATTATCATATGATGATATTATTATGATTAAATAAATGCAGCCTTGTTGAACATAAGAATCACACACACACACACACACACAATTCCTTTATATATATATATATATATATATATATTTTTTTTTTTCTTATCTCCTCTTCCCAATCTTTCACTCTGATGTTGTGCTCTTTTTGTCTTTTGTAGTTTCGTTGACTGTTGCTCATTGCTGCTCTTTCAAAAATGTATGAGATAAATTCACAGTGGATGATCTTGAGTCATTGCGATGTTGTTAGGAGGGTGGATCTTCAATATTTTGTAATCACTTCTGGATGGTTATCAGTCAACATCTGCAGAACTCAATCTGCATTATTTTGTATACACTATGCCTTAATTTCACATCATGTTGCGCAGTTGCAAAACTTTCAGTGATTTCTCTGTTGACTTGGACAGTCAGATAGTCCTGCTGGGCGATTTAAGTTCATGAGTTTTTATCATGTGTTTAAAATGTTTACATTGTAGAGCCTTGAAAATGTTTCACAGCAGCACAAACTCACTAATAAAAGGTGTAATAGTGTTTAATTCACAAAATCTCACCTTCTCTTCCTGCCTTCGTTTGAACTGAGAAAAATCCTTGAAATGAGAAACACAGAATGATGCTCAGTATTTATATTTTTCTTATAAGTATAAAACTACATTTTGTTAGAATTACACTTTTTTTTTTTTCTTTGCCAGTTGAGTAAACTTCAGTACAGTCTCTAAAATCATGTATTAATGCCTATTGTTCAAGGGTGTTTAACCAAGAATATATTATTAATATTATACATATTATTAAACAGACTGTAGGTCAGTAAGATATGAGACAGATTGTATGTATTACTTACCCAGTAAAAACAACAGACTCGTGTAGAATGTTCTCATGTTCATTCCAGGTGATTTGTGATTCTTTCTGCTTTCATTTGCAGATGTTTGAATAAATGTTGTTCCTGGGAGAAACACATCAGTTCAACTTTACTTCAGAGTCACATGATCCTGTTTCTCCTCCCAATTTTCTCTCTGACTGGAGCTGGAAAATGTTTACAGAAATTAAAACATTTAAAAAAAAATAATAATAATAAAACAAGTGAACACAGTTTTACTAAAAATAATGGTAAATTGCAATTTCATTTTAGTGATTAATGATAACAAAATGTCAATGCTGTCGAAATTTTACATTTATCTGTTTGGCAGACACTTTTATCTAAAGCAAGTCAAGGGCTGTATTCAATTTGGTATTCAAATTCAGTGGCATCACATTTCTACTCAGATTCTGTAATTATTCCATGCCGTTCTAACATGTATGCCTTTCTTTCAGTGAAACACCAAGGGTTAATTTTTGAAGTGACTAAGAATTGAAACGGTCAAGCTCCAAAATAACAAAATCAAGCATAACCATGCCACAGAAGTGGTTCATATCTGACAGTTTTCACAAAAACGGCTTAGACTCCATTTGTGCCTGCTTTCTGATGTCAAAGCCTGGAGGTCTTTATTTTATTTTATTTTAAATCTAAATGAAAGTTAAAAAAAAAAAAGAGATCATTGTGTTTGGCTCTTCTAAAGTCCCAAACATTTCTCATTTAAATTCTGGTGTTTTATCTTCAGTGAAATAATTTGTAAAAAACAAAAACAAAAAAACTTGGGCCTCTTATTTGATAGTGCACTTAAATTTGACAGGCAAATACATTTAGTTGTCAAATCAAGTTTTTACGAACTAAGAGCACTGACTTAAGACTTTCTTTTAAGCACTTTGAAACTACAATTCATGCTTTTATTTCTTCTAGAATTGATGATTGTAATCTCCTGTCTCTGGGAATAAACAATTCTTCATTACCCAGATTACAATATGTCCGAAACACGGCTGCAAGACTCTTAATTGGTGTTCGCAAATACCAAGATATTACTCCCGTGTTGAAGTCTTTACATTGGCTCCCAGTCCACTTTAGAATTTAAAGTGCTTCTGCTTGTTTTTAAATGTTTAAATGGCCTCACTCCCTCTTACTTGTCTAACTTGTTGTGTGTACACCATCCAGTGAGAACTCTTAGGTCTGTCAACCAGAGTTTGTTAACTGTTCCAAAGTCAAAATTAACACCCAGATGTAATCAAGCTTTTGCCATAGCTGCACCTAAACTTTGGAACACTTTACCAATCCAAATTAAAACTGCACCAACATTACATATTTTTAAATCAAAGTCAAATACATATCTCTTCACTATAGCCTATGACTTGTGATTTCCTTTGTTATCTGTTGTTGTTTGCTGGGTAGTATTTTTAGAACATTGTACAGCACATTGGTCAACTGTGTTTTTTTTTTTATTGTGCAAAAAAAAACTATTTTTGGATGATAAACTTTTAAGGCATTGTTTTCATTAACCCACAAATTTGACTTTTTTAAACAGTACTTCATTTTGTGTACACACTTAAAAATAAAGTTGCTTCACAGTGATGCCATAGAAGAACTTTTTTTGTCTAAATGGTTAGCTTTAACATCTGAAGAACCTTTCTGTTTCACAAAAGGTTCTTTGTGGCGAAAGACGGTTCTTCAGATTATAAAAAGGTAAGAAAGAGATGGTTCTTTAAAGAATCTTTGACTGAATGGTTCTTTGTGGAACCAAAAATGGTTCTTCCATGGCATCGCTGTGAAGAACCTTTTAAGCACTTTTAGTTTTAAGAGTGTATTCTTAAAGGGGTCCTATTATGCTTTTTCACTTTTTCAACTTTAGTTAGTCTGTAATGTTGCTGTTTGAGCATAAAAAAGATCAGCGAAGTTACAAAGCTCAAAGTCCACTTCAAAAGGAGATATTTTATTTAACAGAAATCACTTTTCAAAAACTACAACGAACGACTCGTTTGGACTACAACGCATATTTTCCAGGATTTGTGATATCACAAATATCGACGAATGGGACGAGACCTGGTTGAGCTGCACTAGAGAAGGCAATGAGTGTTATCACTATGTCGGAGACACGCTAGCTTTCCCAAAGCAGACAAACTTAAGAGTGGTTACAATCATCCGGGTTTAAATCGCGCTTTAATTTATTTGATATTGATGCAATATTTACACTGAAGCTCGCAGGCGGCTATGGTAAGGGGCATGACATTTCCCGACCAGGCGCCAAGTTCATGCCAGACCGGGGAGAGAGGTGTAGTAATAATGTAAAATATGTGGAAAATAATGTGTTTTTCGAACAACCTAGTATGAGAGTCTGTTCTAGTACACCCCCAAAACAAAATCAAGACTTTGTAAAAGAGCATAATAGGACCCCTTTAATACTATTCATGTTCAGGAGATAAAATACTCCAATGACAAAAACAAAATCAAAAGAATAATAATATAGGATATTTAAGCCTTAAGTATAACTATAAAAATAGTTTTGTTTTTTTTTGTCCGAAGTTGTAAAAAATAAAGATTATTGAAATAAAAAAGGAAGATACTTTTACAGACGTTCGTCTTGAATTTCATGTTTAATTCAATGTGTTACTTTACAATTAATTATGAAATGTACTACTTATTTCTGAGTGAAAATTGTTTCTACACTTTTTTTTTTTCAGTGAAGTTTGGCAGAAGATAACATTGTTACTTCTGCATCATTTCTTTTATGCAAAGACAAAAAAAAAAATATGTTCAATCTACTGCATCACCTTCAAAGTGATTTGAATATTCCTGTAAAGCAATTTATCTCAGCCTACAATTTGGTGACCCAACACAGTACTAAAATGATTAATCATTTAAAAATAAACATGTTTCATCTTTTGTTAAAGGGGTCATATGACGTTGCTAAAAAGAACATTATTTTGTGTATTTGGTGTAATGAAATGTGTTTATGCAGTTTAAGGTTCAAAAAACACCTTATTTTCGTCAAAAACATTAAAACCCATTATAAACGAGACATTTGTTGCATCCACCGGGGACATAATTACGGATTATAATGACTTATACTGTCCTTTTACGCGTTGCGTTGCATCGTGCCGCATAAACATAAAACCATGTCTGCATTTGTGATCGGAGAAATGACAAACAATAAGTGCTACTCTACACTGCTCAAAACTCGCGTTTGAATCGTCAGTGGCAAATCCTTTAAATATGAAAACGTACTTACAGTCTCTGAGTCAGAACAGCCGGCATTGTAGTCTACTCTACCAGGATCAAGAAACAGTCCTCCATAAAATGCGCTGCACACATCTGAACATTTGGGTTGAACTGTTCTGGAACAGTGTTGTAAATACAACTTAACCACTGATTTCTATTCGTGTCCTCTTTTGGAAGGCCAAACAAAGTATTTTCGCTTTCGCAACGAAACACACAGCGTCTTCACGACATGGCGGCGGCGGCAACAATACTACATCAACAATAAAGTTACAACTTCTTTCTTTGCGTGAGCATTTGGGCGGCGTTATGCAAATCTTCCCACACAGTGACGTAGACATGTGGGGGCGTGTTTAAACGAGGCGTTTTAGGAGGGCGTGGACGAGTCTTAACTTTTATAAAGAATATCTCTTTGGGTTTGAGACTTTAGTCTTTGCAACTTTAGGGATCTTATCTATTCACGAACAGCTTGTAAAACTCCAAAGAGAAAGGAAAACTTGAAATCGCATCATATGACCCCTTTTGTTAATGATTTTTGAGCATGAGGGAATGTCACACAACCTGTCCATGTTGCGTCTTGACTTCTACCGTGTCAAATTTCCTGCAAAATTCCATACATGAGTGTGTTTCCCAAAAACATTATTAGCTAACTATGGTTGAAAGTGCCACTGAACTCTATAGGTAATGGTGGAACTTGCATCCATAGTTGCTTTTGGGAAACACACCCCTGGTTGATTGAATTTGCAATCATTTGACACCAACAAAGTTCTCCATTGCACTCTCCTTTCACTCTCCTAACTTTGCATACTGTTTGCATTTAGCTATGTTCTTTGCTGGTGAAAGCACACACACACACACACACACACACACACACACAGAGATCTAGCAGTTTCATTGTTTACATGAACATTTTATTATACATATTTTTCTTCAAAAAACATATACATGTGACTTTATTTAAAACTTACACGCATCTACAGGTTTGAGGCAACAGTTGCAAAATAAATTAAGACATCTAAAAATAATTATCTTTGATCATTTCAGCCACGTGGTGGCATCACACTTGCACAATTAAATCAATAGACCAATTACACTCATTTGTATCAGCCCTCTCTGTGCAGGAGCCTGATTTTAAGTAGCAGTACATTAGTAGAATGCAAACACTAATGCTCACAAAAACACACTCAAACACAACCTCTCTCACACATACACACAGATAAAATAAATGATGTATTGCCCTCTTCCCCATATTTGCAGCTCCTTTCCTCATTGTTCCCAGAGTCACAATATTGCACAGTTATAAATATGCTGAATTACATATACTTTAGTGTTGGGTTCATCAAGCGTTCACTGCTCATCGACCAATTTCAGAAAGCAAATGACGTGTTGGCAGCATCCTTACAACAGGAGAACTGCAAGGATCCCTGAGAGAATTACCAGAGCAGCTGAAAAGACAAGAAAAAGGAATAGTTAAGTTATGTATTAAAGAACTTCAAATGCTTCATCCTAATATTTTTGCTCAGGTAACTGACTCTTGAAAAGCACATCACGAAAATGATACTACTTCTATTGGCTAGAAATAACTCCTGTATTGCAAATGCTTTTCTGTCTGTTGGGCAAATGCATATCATGCACCAATTCATTTCAAACAAGAGCATTTAGCAGCTAAAGAGTAGTCCTTTGTGTCACTCTTTTTAACACACTGTAGATATTTTCTCTCAAAATGCAGATTCTGCCTGGCCCCCCATGTGGCCGTATAGAATTCTTACCCTGAGATGCAGCATGATGCAGTGCATTGCTCCCTGCTGTAGTAGCAGGTTTTGCTGTAGTAGAAACCGTAGTAGTGGTAGTATTTGTAGTGGGTGCTATTATGACAACATCTGAGCTGTTAGTGCTGGTTAGATCAACCGATGAATTTGTAGACATTCGTGTGACTGGCGACCCCAGAGTGCCTGTGGGAATGGAAATAAAGAAAACATTTTAATTTTGCTACCAATTGGAATCTCCTTCAGTACTGTTTTCGTAGTGTCACTCTTACCGTTTGCATAGTTGCCAGTGAAGAAATAGAGGAAAGTATCTGTGTTTGCTGCACGGGTGATGCTGCTGAGGCCCGCAGCTACAAAAATGCACTGAATCCTAGTGCCGCTCAAAGAGCCACGGAAGGATCTGGGGTTAAACTGCAAGACAAAACAAGTACAAATGTATTGCTACAAATTAGATGTCACAGTGAGGGAGGTGTCCCTTCACCTCAAAGCATTCCATAAACCCTCCAGCTCTACTCTGGGTTTTGCTTTTTTCGCTTGCTGCTGTTGAACAAACATTTGCATTGTTACTGTTCTACTGTATAGTTGTCTCAGAATGCTTTGTTCTTTAAAGCCCATTGCTGTTCATTTCCACATCATTTATAGTCAATCATCTTTTGTGCAAAGCTTGGCAATAAAGAAAATGCTCTGTAAAAGGGAGTCTTACAGTATTATCCGGAGTCAGAATGGCATTATTCAGTGTGGCACGGATGAACTTCGCCACACCATTGTCGTTGGCACAAGAATAGACGGTGTCATTATCACCCTATGAGAAGAAAAGTTAAATAAGTGAGAACCCAAATCTGAGATTTTTTTTTTTGTCCAAATCACATTCTTAAAAAAGGGAATTTTTTAAACGTGGACATATATTAGAAATAAATTTGATGTTTTTCAGACCTCCTTCTTGTCTCGAGACAGGCCAACTGCAATGTAACCATTTGCATCCCCGCTGAGCTCAAAAGTGAGATTGTCGGAGTCTCCGTTCACCCCTCTTGTGGAGGCAAAAAAGCAGCTACTTGAGCTGGATGGATCACAGTTGGCTGGAGTGGAGAAACATGCCCTGTCCTTCTTACAGTTGTCTTTGGTGACCTTGTCCTGTAAAGTTATGTTGATATTAGCCTTGAAATGCAATACTGAAATTCATATAAATCTGTTGAGAATGTTTAATAAATGCATAAAATCTCAAGTAAATTCAAGTTTCCAAAAGAAATACTACAGCAATTTGACATCCGACACAATACAATAGCTGTTAACATCGACTCCACAAACACTTTACTTCACCTTCACCACAAAAAGCAACACAATTGTAAATATGAACAAAAAACTGTCTTGCCAGTCTGTTCCCACTTACATTTGCTGTACCATTATTAGCTGTAGATACTCCAGACGCAGTAGATGCAGTGGTGTTTAATGCTACAGTGACATTAGATGCAGTGGTGTTTGAGGGTGCAGTGGTGTTCAGTGGTGCAGTGGAATTAGATGAAGTGGTATTCGGGGATGCAGTGGTGTTTAATGCTGCAGTGGCAGTAGATGCAGTGCTGTTTGGGGCTGTAGTGGTGGCATCTATACTGGGTGTTATTACTGTAACATCTGTGCTGTTAGGGTTGCTTAAGTCCACTGACCCATTTGTGGCCAGTCTAGTGACTGGAGAATCCAGAGAACCTGGAAAAGGAGTAAAGGGAGGAGTAAGATTTACTTTTGCAAAAAAAAAAAAAAAATAATAATAATAATGATAATAATAATTTGTCACTGGATCAAAGTTTCACACTCACCATTTGAGACGCTTCCTGTTAAAAATAAGACAAAATTGTCTGTGGTTGCAGCACGGGCATTGTTGCTGAGACCTGCAGCAGTGAAAATGCACTGAATCTTTCTTCCATTCATCGAACCACGGAAATTTCCAGGGATGAACTGCAGCAAGACAGAAATAATATTACTGAATATTACACTGCAAAGATGGCACAGAACCTAAATCTGAGGTGGCATATACAGTGCTGTGAGAAAGTCTATTTTAGTATATTTTACAGTATATTTTAATAGATTTTTATGCATTATTGCATCTTTACACATATTTACACAGAGGCAACATTTGATACCTGTGTGGACAGTACCATTCCCTTTTTTAATATACTACTATATTGTTTACTGTTAAGAATTTCCTTTGCTAATATTGGCATAGTATCATTTATAGAGAAGGCTCTCTGAAAAAGGATCTTACTGTGTTATCCTGAGTCAGTATTTGATTGTTCAGTGTGGAACGGAAAAACCTCAGTTCACTATTGACTTTGGCGCAAGAATAGACAGTGGCTCCTTGACCCTGCGGATGTGAAAAGTAAATTAGTCAAGAAATCATACTTTGGGTTTAAAATTACAGTGCTTAATTATTAAATTTAATTAAAAGAAACACGTTTAAAAAAAAACAAACACTCTATTTGATCACTTACACTCTTGTCTCGAGAGAGGCCTGCTCCGATGTAACCATCTGTCTCACCACTGATCTCAAAAGTAAAATTATCTGCATTTCCACCTACTCCTCTTGTAGAGAGGAAATAGCAGGAACCTTGTGCACTTGGATTACAGGAAGGTGGAGCAGAGAAACATGCTCTATCCCTCTTGCAGTTATCCCTGCCAGTGATTTCCTGCAATCAAAAAGAACTTGAGCTTTAACAGCCAAGATTGTCATTTCCATTTTTAAACAGGAAAAAGACTTGACTTACTATTGATTGAGTATTAGAACTTGACGTTTTTATAATGTTTGTTACAGTGAGGGGGCCTGACTGGGTCGGGTTTGTGGTGATGTTGGGAGGGCGCGTCTGGATCAAGTTGGTTATGTTGGGAGGCTGTGTTTGGGTCGAGTTGGTGGTTATGTTGGGAGGCTGTGTTTGGTTCAGGTTGGTGGTTATGTTGGGAGGCTGTGTTTGGGGCAGAATGTTGGTTATGTTGGCAGAGCTTGTTTGGTTCAGGTTGGTGGTTATGTTGGGAGGCTGTGTTTGGGGCAGAATGTTGGTTATGTTGGCAGAGCTTGTTTGGTTCAGGTTGGTGGTTATGTTGGGAGGCTGTGTTTGGGGCAGAATGTTGGTTATGTTGGCAGAGCTTGTTTGGTTCAGGTTGGTGGTTATGTTGGGAGGCTGTGTTTGGGGCAGAATGTTGGTTATGTTGGCAGAGCTTGTTTGGTTCAGGTTGGTGGTTATGTTGGGAGGCCGTGTTTGGGGCAGGATGTTGGTTATGTTGGCAGGACTTGTTTGGTTCAGGTTGGTGGTTATGTTGGGAGGGAGTGCCTGGGTCAGGTTGGTGGTCATGTTAGAAGATATCCAGCTGCGTATGGAGCTGCTACTGCTCGTTGTATTGTTCCCATTGACTCCAATCATCATGCATGCTATCCCCAGGATAGCCACAAAGATCAAATTGCTCCTCATGAGTTACGTTTATGAGCTTATATATCTGTTAATCCTGCAGTTTTTGTTACCTGTAATTAAAAATGAAAAGAAAATAATTCAGTTTGTATAAACAATAAAAAAATAAACATTTTAGACAATTTAATGTTTTAAAAAGCCATTAATGACAGACAGTCTTTATCTGAAAGACTTTATCTTTCATTGCCTTTTATCATTTATCTTTATCATTAAGTCTGGATTCTCAATTCATCGACACCTTAGTTTTTTTTACAGAGTTTATTTATAACAGAGTTTATCAATAACATATTACTTAATTAACAGAGTTCATTAAGTAATATGTTATTGATAAATATTAAGTCACTTTAACATTAACAATTAAACCTTAACACTAAGATATGAGTGTTGCTTAACATCTTTACATGTCTTTATATCAGCAGTGGTTGTTTGTTTGTAGGAACTGAGATGCTATCTTAGCTATACTAGTATGCAATCTAAGACGTTATGTTGTTAGAAGTTATTAACTGATGTGTATTTTCAATTCTTAAATTCACACAAGTGTTACACCACAGTATATACTACACAGTGCAACCATTCAACCTCCTTACTATGGTAAAGAATAAAATTATCAAATTTGATGAATCCTCAAAATACATCCTCAAAACTAAACACGATTTTTTTTTTTTTTTCAAATGTATGTTTTAGAAGCCAGTGGCTCCTTAGTTATTCCATAGTCAGTAGCTCTGAAAAAATAGGGTCATTCGGTCAGCATAGCACTGTCCAATAACATAAAATATATTTTTCACAGTAGTAAAAAAAAAAAAAGTGTCAAAAAATTAATAATAAAAAATATGTATCTGTCACTATTTAATATTAATTCCATACAATGTATAATATATAATAAGACTTATATACAATAAGAATTATAATTTAAGAAAAAAAAACGGAGAAAAGAAAAAGCACCAGCTTGCACTGGTATACAAAGACACAAAGAAACAGTGGTTCCAACAAATATTTGGACACTTTATTATTTATTAATGCATATTGTAGCACAAAAAAATAAAGGTACATTTTAAAAAGCTCATAAAAGTGCAGTTAGTTCTGAGATTTTGTTATCTGATTCAATGACATTCAGACATTAGGCGACCTCCTACAAGATATAAGGTATGTATATCAAAGTGTCATGCCATTTCTAATTGTATGAATAGACCTCATCTGTTAAGTTTTTGTATAATGCAATGACATTACACATATCTGTCTCTGGATTCCCGATAGCTCAGTCAATAAGTTAGCAGCCGCTTTTGAAGAAAGTTTAAAGCATTTCTTACCCGTGTCTGAGTTGTTCTGGGAGTTTGGGATCAATGATGGAGGTGTCAGAACTTCTCTGGCTTTAATAACTCACATTCAGGGCGGGACCGGAAGGGTTGGACACACCGGTTTTAACTTTTTTCACTTCAGACTTCGTCATTTGCACATTCAAACGTAAAAGCAAAATCAACATACATTATTACAGCAGGAGCAGCTCTGCAGCTCATATTGGTACATCCCTGCTGCGCTTTTCAGCTCAACTACTACAGCTTTTCCAGTGACGCTGTAAAATAACTGAAATAATCAGTTGTTGTTATTTTTTTGTACCGTCATCATGTGATGCACTTGATTGACAAGTTTTCTTCTTCAGAAAAAGAGTCTGACAAACACTGTTCATTTTCTCACGAAATGCCCCTCTATAAGTGAACATATGTATTTGTTATATGGATACAAAACCAACATAAGACAAGTAAAAAGACAAAATATACTTCAACGTATAAAATAAATCAAATAAATAAATGAGGCCAAAAAAGACTGATAAATCTCACTCAATCATTGTCAGATGTTTTTAATCTTATACTGTTTGAAGGCGATGCCATTCTAATGTATCATAACATCCCATTTGTTTTTTTCGGCACTGTTACTCCTATTTTAGGTAACTGTACTCAACCCTGTCTGGTGTGTTATTTATTTTATGTTAGATCTACAGCATTGATGGAACAGATCAACAAGTTATTGTTCAGCTGCTTTACCAGTTTCTCTGGCGCGGTTAGATAGACATATTGAAGTGACTGAGCTGATTGAAGTTTCACACCCAGGCAAAAGAAAAATACGTGAAATTCCTGTGGCTCCAAACACAAAACACAAGCTTACACACATGCGCATTATCAGGGCTGGCGTCCAAAGAATTTGGATTCTTTCACACACCTTTTGTCATGTATCTTCAGACTGACAACACGAACAACATTGCAAAACTGTTTTTAATTAGCTTGACGTGAAGAATGTTCTTGACCTGTTTTCTTTCCTCAGTAAAGGAACAGATATGTTTTGTTGTATATTGTAGCATATTATTTCAACCACAACAACTGAATCATGCAATTCTGTGGACTTTTACTATGTATTTGATTCAGAGATCCATCAAATGTTCATCAAATCGCCACCGTCGACCCCAAAAAGTGTCTTAGAAAATGTAAATCAATATATTGTTTTCTGTGATAAACAGCAATCCATCACTCTACGGCTGATGGTTCTCCAATGCAAAGTCAGACTCAAACACAAAACCAATTCGTTTCATAGACAAGACTACACTGACACTAACTGTGGAGAAGTATCTTTGACATCAGAGCCAGACAGCAGTCCAGTAAAACACGTTCTAAGAACGTTTTGATAATGTTCCCATCAAGTTCTGAAAGCATCATTTATTAATGTTCTCTGAAGGTTCAAAATGTCCAGTATTTAAAATGTGTTAAAAATATATTTTTTTTTCTATAAGGAACATTCCATTTCATCATTTTGGGAACATAATTTTTTAATGTTCTCAGATTTGTATTATTATTATTTTTTTAAATAGTAAGCTGTTTTGTTAATAACTTTGAGAGTACCTCGCAAACGTTCTGAGACAAAGTTCCCTGTTAGATGGGAGTAATCAGATACACGTGAGAATGACGTTTGGAGAAGTATAATGTAAAAATGTAGGGTAACGAGTTAAGTTTTGACCTTAATCCCTTTAAGAGTGCTTTCTCCGACTATTTAAATGTGTGTTTCAGGCTGTACACGGCTGTGTCTGTAGTCTTGGCCAAAAGGAGAGTGAATGAAGTTATTGCACTGATTTAAAAATACAGATGTAAATGAACACGCCTTTATACACAATGCGTTCTGGTACAACAAGATCTTTTCTGCTCAAAAGAAGAGAGACAAAAGAAGGTGCATCACTGAGCAAAGATAACACTTACGTTAGCATCGTGTTCACTAGTCTGTGAAGCTGCTCGGGCCTGTCAGAAAACAATGGCACAGATACTAGGATGAGCATGAAAGAAATATCTCTGACATCGCAACAAATTATGTCAAACTTTACACTGTAAAAAATGTCCTTTTAAATTAACGGTAATATACTGGCAGCAGGGTTTCCAGCAGTGTACCGTAATTTTACAGTTGTATTACTGTATTCTGAATTACGGCTTTTTTGTAAATTAACGGTAATATACTGGCAGCAGGGTTTCCAGCAGTGTACCGTAATTTTACAGTTTTATTACTGTATTCTGAATTACGTCTTTTTTTGTAATTTTATGGTAAAA